CTTCAAAAGAAACTAATGATCTAACATTTATGCATAGCCTAATGCTATGGGTGCATCTGACATCCAGAGCCCCACAGGGCTCTCCTCCCCTGCAAATGACTGGTTAGAGAGAGGCAGGAGATGAAGACACTGAGGGCACAGATGTAAACTTAATCTTTTTCCTGAAGTCAAGACAGTACTATGATTTTAAGCGAGCTTAAAATGCAAGCATGTGCCAACTGACCAAGCATGTGCCAACTGACAGTCTATTTTTAAATAAATCAACACTGGCAAACAGGGATGCTGAAGCAGTTGTGAAATACAAAATGGCCAGGTGAGAGGAGGAGAAGCATTCACTGTGTGATTCATGGCATGTTATACACATCCCTGTTTAAAGCCCCCCCCCCCACAATAAGTTCGGGGTCTAAAATGATCTGGCTGCAACTCCACCAACACCGGCTTAATGGGCCACAACGGGTGACACTACTCTCAGTTTCTCATGTCTCCTTCCTCCCTGTTGTAGCTGCTGTTCTGGGCCGTGTTTTACTGCCAGGAGTCTGATATGAGGTAAGAAACTGCATTTTCTGCAAGCTTAATTGTCAGGCCTCCCCTGAAGCAAGCCTGGCCAGTGCTTTTTGGCAATTGTACAGAGAATAAGGATCCTTGGACTACCCCTCCCAGCAAGACTGCAGCTTCCAGGCTGTGGGGGGGGGGGGGGGAATGACCCTTTCATATGGACCTTTACCATATTCTAGTCAAGACCTCATTGTTCATGAGATCATTTCTGAAGCCGACCTATTTAAGGGTACACATGATGTGCCTGCCCCACCAGTGAGAAAACCCTGGATTGAAAGATTGGACAACAGGGAGCAGCTGCACAGAAAAGGAAAGATTTTAACAAGGTGGCACAGCCAGCCCAAGTAAAATAATTCCACTGGAGATGTTAAAGAAGGAACTAACAGAGGGAGAATGGGGTGAGGTGAGTTCCTAGTGCCTGAGTCATCAGAACTTAAAGTCAGATTATCATGAGGGAAAAATAACCAAAACCGTCTAGCTAGCTCGAGGGGGAAACTTTCCAAGTTTCATAACAACTCAACCAACATCAATCCTCATGATCCATGGAAACCCGTCAGAAAACTGATTTTAAAAAAAGTGTGGGTGCAGCTGTAAAGCAAGAGAAAATGAAGCAGCAAAGATCACAAGATGTACAGGGAGGAGAAACTTCTCAAGTGATGAAACCTTTCTTGAAGGTGTTTGTGCCCCGAGGACAGCATTGCTGGAATTCCTTGCCCTGAGGGCAGGGATACAAGATAACTTGCAGGGAAAGTTGTGCAAAGAAGATGAGCGGGAGACACCCTGGAGCCAGGGGAGTAAGGAAAAGGATTTTTCAAACTCTAGACCAGATTTGTGATGCCGCATCCCTAGGGAGGCCTTCCAGGATGGGTTGTCTGCCAGGGGAACGGCTAGAGTTGGCTGCCAAGTCCCAGAGCGTTGCAAAAGGCGCTGGGTTGTGTTTTTCCAGGGTGTGGCAGCGCTGTTTTCCACAGCTCCCAACCAGGCTTGGTAGGCATCACTCTGGCCCTCCCAAAAATTCCCCTGCAGCCATATCTTAGGGAAAGCATGGACCCCAACTGGGAGCCAAGTTAGCTGGGAGGGAGCTGGTAAGCTTTCAAGGAATGCAAAGGCTCTCAAGGTCAGTTTTGAAACGACTGGTCTAGATCAAGAGTGGGAAAACTGCAGCCCTTTAAATGCTTTTGGGATCCTGGCACAGCTCTTCAGGGCATGACAACCTTTCCCCCGCGGCCCCCCCCCGTGTCATTTTCTGTTTCTCTGGGTATTTTGCAGTCTTTCCATACCTGAAGGGGTTAAAATGTGTCTCCCAGGCTTCATTCCTTCCAGGAAAGGCTCTGAACTAAAATATGCTGGTAATGGGGGTATTTTTGGTTTGTCTTCAGCCCCACACCCCTGAAGAGCAGCCTCTGAGGAATCCAGCCCTCCAAATGAAGAGGGTTAATCACACCTACTCAAACAGGACAACCTCAAAACTCAGCTTGTCATCAAGAAAGGCTTCCTGGAACAAGGGCTAGTTCAGCAGGTGCCAAAAACAACAGGAGAGTTTCCTCTAACGAGCTGCCCCTAAATCAAATTCAGGTGTATTTGATCTGCGGTGGCATCTATGGGCAGAGTGAAGGGTTGGCACCGAGCTGAGCTCATGAAGGGGCCCTACCCCTTCTCCACAGCAGATGGTGACCCACCTGTGACACAACATCTGGCTCTGCTCAGCTGCGATAGCAGCAGGAGCCCCCATGAAGATCACATGTTGTGGCAGCAGGAACAACCACTGCGCAGAGGCCTCTCCTGAACAGCAGGGAGGAGAACCAGGGCCTGGTCTGTCCTCAGTGGTGCGCTAAGGTGGTTTTGAATTTGCAGGGGGTATTCAAAATCAGTGGTGCTCAACAGAGCAAAGTCCGCACTACCACTTCTGGATTCCAGCCCTCATTCTGCGGCATGCAAGGGACATGAGATGCTTCCAGGGAGAGGGTTCCGGTGTGGCAGATCAAAAGGCTTTGTGAAACTATGCTGCCTTTTCTTCCTTAACTTTATGCAGAACTCACAAAACGAAACACACAAACATATTCACGGGGGCATTTTACCATTCCATGCCACATCTCCTGGGTGGGAAAAATTCCCCCCACACAACTATGTGTTTCTGATGTCAGAACTGGCAGGAAAAATACCTCCTGGGAGTCAGAGAGAAACACCTTTAATACTTTAATGCAGTTGGACCATAAGGATCCATTCTCATACTGTCCCTCCCAACTGCCTGCTTATAGGTGGCACACCTCCAAGAAGGGGGGGAGGGCAGGAGGGCTGTTGGCCCAGGCCTCACATTCACAGGTAATGTGGGCTCCACCTTTGGCTGATGAAGTGATTTCACCGCCTCCCACAATCATTTTTTCAAACCAAATTCCAACTGAGATGCAAAAGGGGAGCTACATAAATGGCATATGGGGCAAGCCATCCGTAGTGAACGGTGGGCGTTATGCAACCGTGTGCGTCCACCCCTGCGGATTCGTATCCGCTCCTGTGTTTCCACAGTACAAGCGACAGGACCTGCCAGGGACCAGCCCCATCTCTCCTGAAATACCTCAACTGTTAGAAAGTTTCCTCAGTGTTTAGCCGAAGTTCGCTTTCCTGCAACTTCCAGCCATTTGTTCTAGTCCTGCCCTCTGGAGCAAGCAAGATCACCCAAGCCTCCTCCTTCCCTGCAACCTTTAAGCTATGTGAAGACCGCGGTCCTCTCTCTCCTTACCCTTCTCTTCTCCAGGCCAAAACAAACCCAGGTCTTTTGACCATTCCTCTCACACACAAAGCTCTTAATGCTTGCATTACGGGAGAGATTTACAACTGAGAAGCAAAGGGAGATGCCTTGGGAGAAATGGAAGGTCTATCATTTCTGCTGTGGTGGTTAAGGGTTCAGGACTGGGACTCAGGCAATCTGGGCTCTAATCCTCACCCAGCCATGGAGCCAACTGGGTGACTTTGGGCCAGTCACAGACTCTCAGCTCAGCCTACCTCACAGGGTTGTTGTTCTGGGGCTAGGACTGAGAGCAGGAGGAGGCAAATGATGTATGCTGCTTTGAGTACTTTGAAAGGAAAAAAGCTGTGCTTTAAAGCTATAAATAAATAACTATGCATTCCTAATCAAACCCAAGTCTATCTGTCCCTGCCCATCCCTAACGGAAGTTTACCTCATATGTTTTTAAAGTTTTCCATACTCCACAGAACCTCCCTTTTATTCTGTCAATCATTCATGGGCATCTTCTTGACCACATAACAACATCAACTCTATTGAAGTCCCCTATCCCATTCCACCTCCTCTTAAAATAAATATTTCTAGTGCTCTCAAATTTTCCTCACTTCATACTTTCGCCCAATATTTTTCATTACTCTTCCCCTTCAACCATTCAAGAGACTTATTGCATGGGTAAAATTATTCTTTTTTGCAGTGAGGAGAGATCTCCGTGGGAGTTAACTGGCTGCATAATTTAATGTTGAATTAAATCTTTTTAAATCCAGGGTTTACTAAAAATGAACAACACAGAATGGTCACTGGCATGCACTGGTTCCTTCAGCTTCAAACTCCACTGGCCATGATGGCTGAGATGATGGGAGTTTTAGTCCAACACAACACACGAGGTTGCATTAAAGTATCTCTTTTTTTCTCACATTGGATTTTAGGAACCATTCTCAAGTGAATTGCCTTTCTGAATGCCTATTGAAGAGCCTTGAAATATATTTTGAGAGATCAAGCTTTATATGAGCCTGTTTTTGTTTTGACCACTAGAACTTTTGGGAAACAATTCCTCAGTGTCCTCTGACAGGAAACAGAAGGTACAGTTTGTTTTTCTTCAGATTATGCACGGGAAAGAAGCAAGGTCTAGAAGGGGCAGGGACCTGGCATCTCATGGGTTAATCCGAAGATAAAAGAAAGGAAGTTATCTTAAGGGCCAAAACATAGAAAGTTGGAACCAATAAGCACTGACAGAGTTTCTGGTTTGCAATATAGTCACAGAGCTTTAAAATGTTCTTGCAGAACTATATCAGATGATAGTTTTCAGGACAAGGATTACTTTCTGTCCACCTGTAATTAAATGAGGCATATTCTTTGCACCCCTCATGGAAAAATATTCCTCCCACCAAAACAAGGCTTCACTATGATTCCCCTCCTCCTTTATCTTGCCCCCAGTCCTGCTTCTTGTAACATCTTACCTGATGAAGAATTCTGGAGATCTCACAAATGTGGATATTTTTGTGCTCATTTGGTATTCCTAATAAAAGGGATTTGGGAAATTTTCTCTTCTAGAAATATTCCATAATTTTCTTAGTTAAAAAAAGTTTCTTGTAAAAGGAATCTTGTGAGGAGGGCCAAGACTGAAGGAATTATTTTCCAGAAAGGAAAAAATGAGATCTAGAAACAAATTTATTCAAAGTATATACAACTTAAATTTCAACCTTACCGATACTGATGCAAGCAAGAATCACAGCACACAGGACAAGTAGTTTTCCCATAATGTAGTTGTTGTACTGAGGGAGAGAGAGCAAAATTGTAGTTATTCCAAGAGGAGCAATCCCAGTGAAGATGTGTCAGTGAAGGGTTTCATTCCATCTCTTCTATATATATACACACACACACAAACACAAACGTGCCCCGCCTGCTTGAGGCTAAGTTAGCTGGATGGGTGGGTCTCACAGGAATAATCAGCCAGCTTCTCAGTGGCATATGATCCTCTGAGACAGAAAATAACAGCCCAAGTGAATCAGAGAGAGAGAGAGAGAGAGAGAGAGAGAGAGAAGAGGACTGTCTGTATAATTGCTTTGCTCTGATCTCTCGGCTTCCTTTCAGTGGCTTGTGGCAGGCTGGGAAATCCTGGCCCAGCTCAGCACTGGGTGTAATTGGATCATCTGGCCTCCCCCATGGTAGAGGTAGGCAGCAGCATACCTGTCTTGCAAGCCAAGGTCCCAGTTTTAATCCTCTGCCCCTCCAGGTAAGGCGGAAGAAATACCTGCCTAAGGCTCCAGAGAGCAGCTGCCAATCCGAATAGGCCAAAAGTCTGGCTGAGTTTAAAGGCAGTGCCATAAGTAGACACAGAAATCCCTACCTTTGTGTGACTCAGGAATAAACAGAGATGAGACCAAGGTGGGCTTTGCTGAAGAGAGCTAGTAAGTCTTCACATTCTCCAAAAGTGTCACATATACAGGTCTTTCTCAGGGACTCAATATTTATAAAATAGAAATCCCTGGGAAAAAAGGACCTCGTGATAACTGAAAAGGGCCCAGCTGCATCTTTTTCAGGGGCATTTTTAGAAATATTGACCCCCCTAAAGAAGGCTTGTTTGTATTATACAGAGCTGAAATGTGCTCAGCTACTGCAAGGAATAAATGGTTTCCAACCTTTTTTACAGTTGGAAACCAGCAAAAATAGGAAAATTATTTCAAGGACTGCTGAGGCAGAAATAAAAAGCATTATACACATAGTATTGTGTGTATTAGTTTTTAAATATAGTATCAAAAATGAAAATTCTTTAAAATAAACAACTGAGCAGTAAAACAGGCTAAAATATTGAAATTAAATGTGATCAAATACAACTGAAAATTTTAGAGAGTAATATGTAATTCAAATAAGGTTACTACAACATCTGCTGTTGCTTCTTTTCAAGAATACTTGATCAAAAAATTACAATAGCAAAATACAAAATCAATATAAATGCAATGCTATACTTACAGCAAATATGAATTCAGATACAGTATTAACAGCAGAGCAATACAAAATCAAACAAAGTTGCTTAATACAATAATATTTATTTATTTATTTATTTAGTTAGTTATTAAAACATTTCTATGCCGCCCATTCGCCGAAGCCTTGGGGCGGCTCACAACATAAAATTAAAATACAAGAAATAACAATATAAAATAAGTCACCCTGGCCAGATAAAATAAGCAAATAATATTAACAATTAAAATGATGCTTGAATAAAAAGGTCTTCGCCTGCCGCCGAAAAACAAATAACGACGGCACCAGGCAGACCTCTCTGGGGAGCGCATTCCATAGATTGGGCGCCACCGCAGAGAAAGCCATCCTCCAAGTACCTATTCTCCTAATTTCCTTAACGGAGGGTTCCTGGAGAAGGGCCTCTCCCGCAGATCTCAAGGGGCGGGCGGGCGTATATGGACGTAAGCGCTCCTTCAGGTAACCAGGACCCAAGCCATTTAGGGCTTTATAGGTCAGCACCAACACCTTGAATTGGGCCCGGACTTCAATGGGAAGCCAGTGAAGCTGACGGACGACTGGAGTCATGTGAACATAACGCCCAGTCCCCGTCAGCAGCCTGGAAGCTCTATTTTGAACCAATTGAAGTATCCGGACCATCTTCAAGGGTAGCCCCACGTAGAGCACGTTACAGAAGTCAAGGCGGGAAGTCACCAGCGCGTGTGTCACTGTCGCCAGGCAGTCATACTCCAGGTAGGGGCGTAGCTGACTAATCAGCCGAAGCTGAAGGAAAGCGCTCCTCGCCACCACTGTCACCTGAGCTTCCAAAGAAAGCTCCGGGTCAAGGAGTACTCCTAAGCTGTGGACCTTGTCCCTAAGAGTGAGTGCAACCCCATTCAGGACTAGGTTCAATTCACCCTCTCCGAAGCCCGAACCGCCAACCAACAGGACCTTCGTCTTGTCTGGATTGAGCTTCAGTTTATTGGCCCTCATCCAGCCCATTACCTCGGCCAGGTACAGCCACTGCCTCACCTGGATTGGTGGAAAATGAGAGGTAGAGCTGGGTATCATCAGCGTACTGATGATTCCGCAGCCCACACCTCCTGATGACTTCTCCCAGCGGTTTCATGTAGATGTTAAACAGCAAAGGGGACAAAATGGACCCCTGCGGTACTCCATGGCATAGCTGCCATGGCGCAGAGCCATAGTCCCCCAGCACCACCTTCTGGAAACGGCCGTTGAGATAGGAGCGGAACCACTGCAAAGCAGTGCCTCCGACCCCCAATCCCGCAAGCCTATCCAGAAGGATACCATGGTCGATGATATCGAAAGCCGCTGAGAGGTCCAGGAGAACCAACAGGGACGCACTCCCCCTGTCCTTCTCCCTGCACAGGTCATCGTACAGGGTGACCAAGGCAGATTCAGTACCGTACCCGGGTCTGAAGCCGGACTGAAATGGGTCCAGATAATCAGTTTCATCCAAGAGAGCTTGGAGTTGTCCCACCACCACCCGCTCTAACACCTTGCCCAGAAACGGGATGTTGGCCACTGGTCTATAATTATTGGCCATCTCTGGATCCAGTGACGCTTTCTTCAGGACCGGTCGGACTACCACCTCCTTTAAAGGGGCAGGCACCCGACCCTCCTCAGAGAAGTGTTAACCACTTCCAAGATCCAGATCCCAATCCCGTGCTTGGAATTATTTATTAACCAAGACGGGCAAGGGTCCAATAGGCAAGTGGTGGGACGTACTTGTCCAAGCACCTTGTCCACATCATCGAGCCGCAATAACTGACATTCATTCAATAATTTTTATAAGGTTAAATAATGAAATAAAACACCCCCACCCCACCCCACCCCACTCAAACCCCCAGGCACACCAGCACAGACTGGCTGAGGAAGCGCTCTGGGCACCAGCCGCCTCAGCAGTTCCCTCCCCAGCACAAAACACCACAGAGAAAGGAGAAGGGCTGGTCTTTCCCGTCCTGCCAAAGCCCAGCTCCCGCTGCCGGTCTGTGGACTGGCGATTGAAAACCACTGATCTATATTATTTTCAGCATCCTGAGATTTGGGTTTTAAATTCCATTCCATTATTTTGGAAGCTCAGCTTTGTTGGACCCTTAACTAGGTAACTCCACAGAGATATTCAAACCTACTGCTGTTAGAAAAAGGCCAGCCATTCTGTAATGAAGCTTGCTTTCTGTAACTTGCAAGAAGACTACACACAGACCGTTTCTGTGACCGAGCCAGCGACCTGGGTTGACCTGGGCCAGGCCATGGGCCAAAGGCCTCTGGGTAGCCTGCCTTAGCAAAAACTTTGGGGCTGCTGACAGCAGCTCCTGATTTAGGCTTTCTGTGTTTAAGGCTGTAGATCAATTAATCAGTGAAAGCTTTACATATCGAAGGCTGCAGATCAGTTAGTCAGTTAGAAGCTAAATTGAGACACCTAGATGCTTGGAAAGTAACACCCAGCATAACTGCAAGTGTTAACGGGAAGCAGTTATCAGAAAACCTTCACTAACTCTAACCACAAACTAGGTGTGGGAGGACATCTAGGAAGTCCCCAAATGTCATAAGGAACCATTCTTGGAAAATTCCAGCAAATCACCTAGCCACAAGATCCCACTAAGGACTCTGTAAAGGTGCCATGACGTGGGGGGCCAGGATTGGCCGATCTGGGACTGGAGAGCGCCTGGACATGCGCAGTCCAAACTGCTTGCCAGTCTGTAACCCACGAAGACCATGCCCAAACCTTTGCTTTTTATTAGCTCTGCTTTTGGGCATGAACCATGCTGCTGAGCATTTTTGCATGCAAAATAAATGAGTCTCTACTGGGTGTTGCTTCCCTTTTTCCTGGTAGTTGAGACCTGCCGGGAAAAAGATCAAGGGCATTTTTTTCCTTTTTTTCCTTTTCTTTCTTCTTTCTTTTTCTGTTCTGTTCCTGGGGGGAGGAGGGGTGTCTCTGTTATGGGTTCTGTTTTTGGTTCACTTTCTGTAAGCCTCCCAGAGATGTTTTTAGTAATTGGGATGGCATACAAAAACCTTAGATAGATAGATAGATAGATAGATAGATAGATAGATAGATAGATAGATTTTTGCAGCACTGTCATAATATATTTTGGGATCCTCCCCTCAGCCAGAAAAGGAATACCCCTGGATGGTCTCTCACAGATTAACTCACCCAAATGAGGAAGACAATTAATAAGTAAACCAACAAACCAGGAGCATCAGAAAGTAATGATCCCAGTTAACTTCTGGTTCTCTGAAGTGGGTTCAGTCTTCCCAAATAAGAGCACAGACCCAGAACAGACTACAGTGATCACTGGTGCAGCTGGATAGTTTCACGTTCCTGAACATGCCAGTTCAGTGTGCAGTTGGATTTGCTCAGCTTCCCCCTCTACCTGGAGCATGTGAAGTGGGAACTTTGCCTACTTGATCTGCAGTGGAGTCTCTGAGAATCTAGCTGAGCTTCACCTCTGGGTGAGAGTAGCAGCAGAGGAAGATCAGGCGAACTGGCCCACCGAGTCGGGACCTTGGCTTGTTGGGCCCAGTATTGCTGAAACTGGCTGGCAGCAGCTCTGCAGGGTTTCCGGAAGAACTTCTTCCAGCCCTGCTTGGGAATGCTGGGGATCAAACCTCCTTTTCCTAGCAGGGTTGGCACATGGATATGAGCATAAAAAGAGGGCCTGAAGATATAGCCAAGAAGGAATTAGAACAAGACAGTACTAGGGGAGAAGTAGCTTAAGTTGTCGCTTTAAGGTCTAAATATAATGTTAGTCACAGGACAGGTTGCAGAACATTTGTGAGCTCATCCATTCAGATTCAGGCATTGTTCTGCTTACCGTACTATGCTTCAGCTTTTCCCACCAGATACACTGGATTACAGCTGGGCACTTTGGGAGACTGTAAGCTATCG